ATAATCTAGCATTTTAATGTTTTGCTTATAACAGATTTAATTTACTAACCCAAATATCTAAAGGCAAGCTATGTTTTGAGGCAAATAGCAATAAGCCTAGAATTTTGGAAATTCCCTATCTCTGATTTATTATAGATTAATTCTAGAGAAAATCAGAAAAACTCAGCTATTCTATTTGCATAGAAAATATTATTATAAAAATTGCTAGATTTTATAATTATTTTGAGATTTGATTGTTTTGAACAAATCACAACAAGTTAGGATCCTAGGAATTATAGGGAAAACAGATAAAGTTACACTAATAATATACAGGTACTCCCACAGTTATCCTACAAATTATAGATAAACTAATCTCAAAACCTTTAAATTTTCTATTTAAAATAATAAAAGTTTTAAATTAATATATATATATTTAAAAAACTTATTAATTATAAATAATTAAATTTACCAAAAGTTATTATTAGGTTTGTTTCAACTGCCATGGTTGGTTTTACAATGTCAAGTTTTTACAGTGCTACCACTACAGAGAGTAAATCATCAGATTCTTGAACCCAGGCTCTTTATATATACAAAAATAAAAATGTTCTATTATTTTTTGTGCTTCTAACTTTGCTACATAGACAATATCATTAATTATAGATAACATGATATTAGAAGTAGGGTATGGGGCAGTAAAAATAGTGTTCTACAATTGATACATAGTTGAAATTGGTATATATAACTAGTATAATATCTTAACTTTTGGCAAACTGGCTCCGTTTGCATCTTATACATGCTTGCTACCAATAGCAGGTCTTTAAAGTCAGGCAAATTGGGCTCAGACCCAGCTTATGGGCCTGAACTCACCTGACTTTAAAGACCTGCTACTAGCAGCAAGCATGTGTGAGGTACAAATGAAGCCTGTTTGCCAAAAGTTGATCTATCATACTAATTATACATACTGATTAGCTTATAACTATTTGTGATACATTATTTTTTTGTTTTAAAGTATGAAGTATTAAAGACGATTAGCAGGATTGAGATGGTGTACCTTCTATAGGTTCTTCTCTATTTTCTCTTAAAATATGTGAATAACGATTAAATCCCTAGATTCAGAGAATAAAAATGGAGGTCTTTCACTAGAAATTTCTCATAGAATTTGTCCAAAGCTATATACATCAGATCTCTTATAATGTTTATATTCATGCTTAATAAGATTTTGAGGTTCAATATATGCCAGTATTCTATGAATAATTGTGGCAGATTAAAATAAAATCGGATTAAAATGAAATTTTTCAATTTTTTTAGGAAAATTTAAAATTTTTTGGGGGACATTTTTTAGGATTAGGGTTAGTGTTAGGGTTAGGGTTTAGAGTTAGTTTTATTAATAGAAGAGTATAAGTGGGTTTTATAAGCTTTAAAGGTAAGCAAGAAAGGTCCCCAGTTTCATTTTAATCTGATTTTATTATGATCTGTGATAATAATTGAGTTTGAGGTCATAGACATTTCATTCATCTCCTTTGATAGTTCAAAAATGTTTTTCAAATTCTAAATTATTAAATAATTATTAAAATTTAATAATTAAAGCATGTATTAGTAATTAATAACAGTTAACTAATGAATATAAAACCTATTACAGTATTAATATTCAATTGATCATAATAAATAGACATACAAATAAATAATGAATATGTCTATACATGTGGCCGAATTATTTTGGTTTTAATTTTGGTTTGTGCCAAATCATAAAGGCTTAAGTTCATAACTGTCTCAAATATGTCATAACTAGATTCAAATAAGTTGACATATAAGGGACATTAAATATAACATAGTACTTACCAGATCTCTAAGAAACTGGCTCAATTTCATGATCACTGATTAAAACAGAGTGACAAGGCTTGTACCCTTTTATTTCTTCATCACCAAACAATAATACTCTTGATATGTAGATTTTTACTTCAATTGAAGCTTCAAATGCACCTGAGTTGGTTAGTTGATATGATAATTCAGTTGCTCTGTATTTTGGATTAGCAGTCATTACTTTCTACTTATTAGATACATAAATATTATTTAGAGTTGTAAATATTAACAGTATTATTTAATTCATATTAAAATTATATTCTATAAATAATACCTTTATCATATAAAAATAAAAGTCCGAGTGCTATTTCCTTAGCAATGCATATTGTAATTTTAGAAATTTTGCTATTAAATATTCTCATAACATTCTGTCATTAGCGTATTAAAACCATATTGTAATATCTGTTGCTATCTATATATTAGCTAGATAAACAATATTGTTATTTAGCATAGTATTATATAACAGCTTAAAAAATTATTAATTGCTTGTTTACCTTTCATAACTCCATAAAATGTAATAAAGTTTGGATAGCAAAAACTCTTCATAAGTATTCGAATAAATATCTGCTCCCGATTTGTTATTAAAATTTAATGATTAAAGTACGTATTAGTAAATTAATAACAGATATGAATATAAAACCTATTACAGTATTAAATATAATATAGTACTTACCAGATCTCAATGAATAATATCCTTATTATGTAAAAATAAAAGTCAGAGTGCTATTTCTTTAGCAATGTATAGTTTATCTGCCCATTGTAATTTTGGAAAATTTGCCATTAAATATTCTTGTAAAGTTCTGTTATTAGTAGGAATAGAATTAGTCACAAACAGTCAAATTTTCATAGCCAATTTACTAAATACTAAGATGATTTTTTACTTTTGAGCTTTTAATTAAAGTTGTTCAGAATTAAATTCTGATTATACCATCTTATAAATAGAAAGAGCGATATCTTCGCTAGAACACAAAATTTCAAAGTTTGTAATATTATAACCAGTCATAACATTACAAATTTTGAAATACCAAGTTCTATTAAAGGTATTGCTCTTTCCACTTATAAGATAGTATGACCAGAATTTAATTCTGAACAATTTTAATTAAAAGCTCAAAAGTAAAAAATCATCCTAGTGTTTAGCAAATTGGCTATGAAAATTTTGACCGTTTGTGACTGATTCCATCCCTAGTTGTCTTGGTCTTCGGACGAAATTGATTTGCCTCTTGAAAGGTGCTGCCCTGCTGCTCTTCCGTTTTATATCTGTATGACGTTCTTTGCTAAATTTGGTTATATTAGTATTGCGCCATATGCTCCTAAATTAGTAACTTTATTAAATTTATACTTATCTCCCCTTTGCATAAACCGGATTCTCTTGTTGGAACTGGGATCACTCATGTGAGTGGCACACAAATTGTATAGGCACAATTTTTAAGGAGAATGGCTTCTATGACACCTGAAGAACAACTAAGCTACTGAAACAATGAGTCAAAAAAGAAAATACAAATCCAAGTAACGAACGTAATATTCATATATGAATGCCGCCAAGACCTCATTAATTATAGATTCAGCCCTGATCTATGATATGCAGATATATATATGATATATAATTAAATACGTACGTACTTACTATGGTTTTTTTTGCAGCACTCATTTTAATTACATATCACACTAGTATATCTTGGATCACTGATCAATGCTAAATCTTGTTAATGATAATTAACTACAGAACTATATATGAAATAATTAACGAGGTCTTGGTAGCACTCATATATTATCAAATTCTAATATGTGGCTATTTGTATTAACTAGAAAATCAACATAATTTATTATTAAGCACCTAATAAGTAAAGCTCCAGCCCTATGAAACGTCACCGTTTCGCTAGTTATTATACACGAATCAATGTAATTTGATGAGAAATAAATAACCTACTGTATTACAGGTACTTACTTTAATAAGTGATTGTTATGATAAAGATTAATTTAATAAATACGTAAGTTAAATGAGAAGTGAGTAGCTTATACGTATTAAATGATAATTAATGCTTAACTATACCCAATTGATGATCATATGGTTAAGATTATATAATTTTTGCATTAAAATTTACTAAAATATATAAAAATTCTGCTCACTATTCTAGTACATAATCATGGTGTGATTAAAGTTAATTTGTACTAGAACATATGGCAAAATCTCTAGATTTATAAGTAATTATATAGGTCACAATTGAGATGCCATGAACAGAATCACGAGGCATCACAAAATCACAATTCAGACCGAATGAGCGATTTGTGAATATGAGGCTTTGGGTGATATCGATATGATCAATTGAGTAATAATGGGCCTTTTCAAAGTGAATTTACTGGTAGATTTGTAGGTGTAAATTTCGTATTGTATAATTGTATTATATTAATCATGCACGTGCATTAAATTAGAAATAAAATAAAAAAATATGTTATGCGATAGAATTAATTTAGAATAAGTATTTTTGCTTTATTCTAAATTAATTCTATTGCATAATATATTTTTCACTTTATTTCTAATTTAGTGCTTAATACAATACAATTACAATACGAATCTGCACCTACAAATATACTAGTAAATTCACTTTGAAAAGGCCCGATGGTAGACATTTAGTAAGTATGATGTATTGTTCGATGTTTGAGTTTAATTAAGAGATAACAATGAGAAATGTGTAAATATGATGTATTGTTCGATGAGTACGAGTTTGAGTTTGATTAAGAGTAGGGTGGTTGGTAAGCTGGCGAGGCGAGCTTTTTTTTAGCTCACCAAATAATGGCAAGTGTCTCGCCACTATTTGGCAAGATAAAAAAAAGCTCACCTCGCCAGCTTGCCAACCACTCTAATTAAGAGGTAACAATGAGAAATGCGTAAGTATAATGTATTGTGTGATGAGTATTGATCTAATTAATTAAATGATACTAGGTATGAGGTCATAGTTAGAGACTATTTAAGGTGTGTAAATTGGAAATTTATTCTTCCTCTTTTGTCTTTGTTGCTAGCTTGACACAAGTCTAGCTTTGTCAATGTCCACCCA